CAATCGACGTTTGACAGCGAGGTATCGTTAGCGATTAACGAGGTAAATCGGTCGCGGAAATTTTTCCATTTGTCAAAGCCTTCCTCGAACGTCAGTAAATGTAGCTTTGGCAAATGTGACCACCGGCGAGAAGACTCGGAAGAATTGCTTACGTCCAAGGCTGTTGACTGATGCCGCGGTTTCGGTTCGAAGGCCTCGAGAACTTCTGCCATGTAGTCAGACGTTTTGTTGAAGACGTCTTCGCAGACGAAGAACTGCTGCTCCTTGAAGTAAGGCAACTGCGCCTTCTGGGTATCACTGGCCAGACGAGTAATTTTCGAATGGAGTTCCTGGCACTTCGAAAAGATGACCTTTAGGTTGGCAAGGCTCTCCTTGGTAGCGGGACGAGTCATCCGTGATTGGCCAAGTTTTTTGAAGTTTGGCAAAACTCGTGAGACAGAGTACATCATCTGTGTCTGATCGCCGATCATCTCTTTGACGTTCGACATGATGCTGGCAGATCATTAATACTTGGTTTCGTCTTGCCACCGATCTGGCTCGAAGGACCAATGTTCTGTGTGTTAATCGGTTGATATCGTTTGCTGAACGATCGGTGGGCAAGGGATGAGTAGGTGTAGTAACAAATGCTTCTTGGGTTTTCGGATACTCCTTTTATTTTTTGTCACTGGACGGTGACTATGGTATAGTTTCTCAGCGCCTGATCGTTTTCGCTCGTCCTTCTCTCAACGGGGTCGGATTAAACGCCGTAGCGCGGAGATATGCAACTTGTGCGGGAATCGGTTGACGCGCCTTACGATGAATTCAGAGCAAAGAATTTCAATATGATTTGACAGGCTTGTTATTGCTTAGACGGCAGAAAGTTGACTCATCTCGGAAACGGGCGTCGGATCGCGCAAACCAGCCGGTCTCCGAGAAAAGTAGGGGGATTAACGAAAATAAGAGCGCGGGCAATGACAGGCGTTGTTATGTTTTCCACCAATGAGCTGTGTGCTCGCGCGCGCAATTAATATAAAAGTTGAAGCGAGCGATAGTCGCAGAAACGATTTTAAAACAATATATATTATAAATATATTATAAATATATATTATAAATTTATATATACTACTTTTGCTGTATCTCGATAATAATTAACGACCAGATATCGGGCAAATGAATAAAAATCATATCGAGAGAGTCATTTTGAGTCCTTGCGGAAGAGACTCGAACGATACTTTTACTTCCCAAACGGGCAAATCGGCGAAGGCTAGTAGGTTTATGTGTGTGGCGCTGTTGAAAATAAATCTGAAGTAATTCGGCGGTTCACAGGACAGAGAAGGGTCAAGGGTGTTAGAAAAGGAGGGGAATTTCGCGTTTTGTTTAACCGTCCGAGACGGACAGCGTTACATTTCTGATCTGAAATTTCTGCACGGCCGAATCTCGATTCGTCGAACTAATGCAAAGCTTGGAACAAAAATCGATATTTTACGTATCGAGGCACGCTCGCAACTCCTATCTCAATCGTTATATTCTAATCGCATTATCTTAATGCGCGCAATCGAGAAATTTATGACGACGCATTCCGGTAATATTATTATTGATAGTATTATTGTTCCTGACGCGAGAAATCGCGACGTGGTAACCTTTGCTTTTAGTTAAAGATAAAGTAGACTGATTTATATGTAAAAGAATTCTCATTTTTAAGGAAACCGTTCACTTACTTTAGTATAATTATTTTAAAAATCACATCAAACTACCATATTATTATATTATATAATATTATATAATATTATGTAATATTATATATGATGTTATCTCGATAAAGTTATACCTTAAAAATATACTTAAAAATCATGTCAGATATTATCGGCAAAGATAACTTATGGAGTAAAAAATCATTACGATTGTTTATCGCAGATAAGATCTTATCGAAATCTAGCGTGTGCCGCGGGCACGCATAAGTGTAATCACTTGTAATCAAGTTGAATCAAAGGTGCATAAAGTGACAATAATTGCATCTGATATCAACAAATTTGGCAATGATGTCATTGTCCGATGTAGTCCACTTAATGTACGACCAATTGAATTTCACGCGTGTTCCGCCTCGTTTATCGCACGATCGCCTCGTTTAAGTGCCATAGAAATTTTAGTTAAGAAACGCCGCATTAATTGTAAGAGGGAGAGAAAGAGATGAGAGAGAGAAAGAGACACGTGTACAATAATGTCACTTATCACGTCTGTTATGGCATTGATAGCAGCGACAGATAATGTTAAAAATAATAACGATATATGACGGCGAAAGCGCATATTACATGTTGCGATAATTCATTCTATCCCCGCACTGATAAACACGTTAAAATTTAATTCAATATTGATGTTTCGTAATCGACAAATAGACAATCGCGACATCAACGAGTTTTACGCGACGACCTCGCAACTTCGGCGGAATGTTTTCATAGAATGTGGGTCGATATCGAACGTAAAGATAAATATCACGGATGTGACACTTTGGACTCTACTACTAAAAGAATTAATAGTACTCCTACAATGCGCTGTTTTCAGTGGAAATTAATTTTCAATCAGCTCTTCTATTTGATATTTTCGGTTCTTTTTTTTGTTCAATTTGTCCTTTTTTTAATAAAAGCGAATTATTTGATCTTTCTTTCTACCGCGCACCATTCTCTCGTAGTTAGGTAAGTTCTTAAAACCTTGCCTCGCGTAAAATTTTATGATTAACGTGCACGTTGCTTATTAAAGATTTTCTGCGCCAGATACTTCTCGCCGTTAACGACAGTGAACTTCCTTAACCGGAGATGCGCGGAACAATCTGAAACTTCATCTCCCACGCTTATATAGCGTTTCGTGGGAGTATCAGGATCGACATTCTGGAGTTCATCCAACGTCATATATAGTTAAAATGCTCGAATGCTTTGTTCAAGAATACTCAGTTAATGTAACGACGACTTATCGCCGATAATTTGCGGATATTTGTACGAACGAATTAAAAATAGACATTAATAACCTATTATGCAGACAAGTCGTTCCCTTTAGATAAGTTTGTTCCAATTCTCATAGTCGTGACTTTAGTACGAGATCTCGAGATGATCGATAAAATGCTTTAACGCTTACAGACCGTATTTTCCGCAAATATCGCGGATCTATCTCCTCGTCAGTGAATATATGTGAGTGTGTATACACTCGTCTATATATATATTGAGAGCTACTTCCCGTAAATCTTTGAGATTTCCGAAAGATTCCTTCAGGAATCTCTTCTGTCATCTAAAGATGCTCTGCGAAATACACTTGTGATTATCTCCGCGTGACGTCGAAACGATCTGTCTCGATTCCATGTGTTACACGAACGACCCCACTGTTTTGGATTGTTCAACATGCAAACAACTATATAGAGAACGTGTCCTACTTGCATGGAGGCGCGATGATGTGAACAATGTGATATCTACGAGCACGCATGATCGCGTTTTCCCGGCGCATTGGTATTACTATTTTATGACGACGCGAAACGTGCAACGCCTGTATTACGACATTGATAAATATGTGATATTTTATTAACAAAAAAACTCGCGCGATTTTCGCGTTCGCGATCATAGTTTTTTTCTCTCCGTCAGACTTTCAATTACTCAATGAAAAATTAATGGCGCGCAGACAAGTGTCTATACTTTTTTTGCCTAACACGTAAAAAGTTTTTTAAAGAGAGAGAAAATTATGCCCGCGCCGCGCAAAAACTCTCGTGGAAAGCCGAAATTATGTAAATGAGCTTCATTATGAGCGACTCGCTCGTCGATATCATCAAGGACGGGCAATCAGCTTAAAGACCCAAGCTGCTTAAACCGCTAATTAAATGCCGAAACTTTATTTGATGTGCTTTATGCGAATTACGCTCAAGTGTTAAAAACGGAGAGTAAAGGATTTGACTAACAGTATCAGCAAACGTTATTTGCTTTGTTATAGAGTTACTACGTCAAGTTGGAGAACGAGCGTGCTCGTGAGTCTAATGAGCAGCTTCAACGAACCGAAAATAAACGCGCGAAATTTTTGAGCAAATGCATAATGTAATACGGAACGATAATTTGCGGCATTTCAGTGCGCGTTTTAACGTTAAAATGATCAGTGAAAGCACAAGATACTTTGAAAGTCTTCTACATCTAGGTGAAATAAAAATAAAAATTTGCTAATAAAATTAATTTCTTTGTACAACAAATCGTGTTTTGCTTTGACAATATCGTCCATTTGCGGTCTACTTCTAAAAGTCGTGCGAAATTAACGACAAAACTGAGTTGCAAAAGTACCACGATTCCACGATTCGGCAAGCGACGTTATACAATATGTTGTTAGCATAAAAGCCACGTATGCACCAATCTTGTTGCCTGCATTCCGTCGAACTAAGCACTACCGGCGTTATACTAATCTCGCTTATGCCCGCGACGCTTATTATGCATCTACGTTTCAAACCTGTAATAAACGCCCGCGGAAAAACAAAGCCGCATTTACGTCGTTATTACGCCTTCCAGTCGATGCTAACGTGCTGTCAAAGTGTTTATCGCGAACGATTATTAGCATACCGACGATCGTAAATCTGCTTTTTTTTTAATAATTGTTATGACATTGACTTTAGGCAAATGTATCTAACGTAACGCTACTGTAAAGACATTACGGACAAAGTAGTTAGCTAAGTTCGTAAGTGACATAGCTAGCGAATGAATAACTGATAACAATTTTTATGTTACAATGAGAGTTACTTGGTCATGACATACGTCTAATAAAAGTTAAATGTATGTACTCATAAAAAATGTATATAGTAGTATAACTTTATATTTTACAGATAATTTACAGAAGCGTGATATGAAATGTATATAGTATATATAAAAAATGTATATATATAAAAATGTATATAGTAGTATAACTTTATATTTTACAGATAATTTACAGAAGCGTGATAATGTGCTCGACGTTATAATTAACATCGCAATTTGCATTGCGCGTGATCAACATTAATTATTAACAGGATGATAATCATGGCGACTATTGACTCTATATTATATGTATATATATATATTAATATAATATATTATAATAAGATATAGGATATTCGTGCTCCAATATCTTCAGGTATCAATAAGATCAAAGATTAGGTAATTTATTTTTATCGTACTTTTTAGAGAGATGTCACCGAGTCAACGAAGGAATTTATTGACAAAGAGCAGGTGACTAGCATGGTAGCGCGAGATGTCGTCGATAATACCAGATTCAATGCGGATACCGGTTCGGTACCCCAATCTCCAGCGAGTTCCACGAAGAAGCCGTCGCCGAAACGATCTGGCTATCCTCGCGGAATACCTGGACTTAAGAAGGACGATCGACCAAAACCAATTCCCGCGGCTGGGAAGCCCAGTCGACCTTCGCAGCGCGAAAAGAGTCCTCAGCGACCGGCAGAACACGACAGGTGAATAAAAAATGTCAAGAATATTTTTTTATTTGTATTATAATTTATAAGAAAATTGTTAACGAGCTCGCAATTTTGCCAATCACAGAAGACATCGTAGAAAGGATAAAGATATATATATTATTTATTTTTTTCTTGAAATATATTTAAAAATAAAAAAAAGCTCTCCGAGAAGAAGAGAAGAAAAAGGACGAAAATATATAATTTATAATATATAATTTGTATATTAATATTTAATTTTTTGTTGCAAAAAGATTTTCTAAGGTCCGACCTAAGTCACCTGAGAAGCTTCGTGATTATACATCGCCGACCAGAAAGCCACAACCAGCGGCTGGCAAGCCAAGTCGACCTGCGGAAAAGCCCGAAAAGCCAACGAAACCAGAACAAGATGACAAGCCGAAATGAGGGGATCAGATTCCAGATTCTCTCGACAAGGACGCAGAACTCCCTAGACCGATACCGGATATAATATCAAAAATCCCCTTGAAGGAACAATGTATTTGCGAGCTTTGCACTTGCGGGTAAGTCTTCTCCCTTCTACAGCTGAATATTCTTTTTACATGAATATACATGAAAAAAGAAACCGAAATAATTTAATTCAATCTAAATTACATCATTAAGTTTATTAAGTTAAAATTAAAAATTTCTCTTTTTTTTCTGATTTCTCTAATTTTCTAATTACTTCCGCATCAACAATTTTATGTATAAAGTATAATTAACAACTATAGCTAGTGCGAATATGATTTAATTTAACTTATCTGCACGTTCTCTGCGGAGATGAACATGCCTGACCTACTTCGAAACACTATTAACAAGATCAGAATACAAAACTTGCCGGAGTCGAGATGCAAATTCACGAGAAGAGCACAAGAGATTGTCTTCAAGGCCATCTTTCCTACTCTATTAAATTCATTGCAATAATCTATTCAAAGCCCGGACGTAGGTACAACTGCTGTGTGTATACAAATGTCTACTTTATCGCTCTTTAATATTGTTGCAATGCAAGATATATATGTTACTGCTTCCTATATAGACGATTACAAGTTTGTCATCAAAATAGCTTCCATTCTTTGTATTAAATGATTTTTAATCGCGACTTTCTTGTTTAATATGATTCAATTTTGCTACAAAAATATTGATAAATTCATTAAAAAAAAGTAAAAATATCTCATCCGCAACTTTTCAGGACACTATATACGTATGCATAATGTGCAAAAGTAGAACACGAGACAGATCCTTTTACAGCAAGTTGTTTCTGGGTGATGGCAAGTCATCGCACAGGATTCTTTCCTTATTCGAACTTTTTCCAACCTACGTAGCTTATATGATGTAGCGTATATGTACTTTATATAACAATGACGAATCGTATAAATTTATGATACAACTTTGATAATTGCATTAGACATCATTTTTTGAAGGATATTTATCGCCTCTTCCCGGGAGAGCGGCTGATTATATATAGAACAAGATTAATGTTGCATTTTTAGTTTCTTTTGAGTTTTTCATACAAAAATATCAAGCTGCAAAAAGGAAAGTTAAGAGACATTTAAGAGAGTGTATTTATTTTAGCTCTATACTTAATTAATTAACTAATTTGGTATATGTAATTTTTTCAGTAATGACAGCAATTGTGTGATATATTTTATGTACACGTGTAAATTGAAATTGTCTTGTCATTGAAAACCTTGACCTAGATAAATAAAGGTTGTAAGATAAATAAAAGCGTAGATAGATTTGCGAGCGAGAGATGTAAGCTCAGGGAAAATTAGTCGCGTCGTGACCGTCTCAAGAAGTAATTGCGGTTCGTCTGCTGATTAGTCGTCGGAAATTTCTACGTAAGTCTGCTTAACTTTGAGAGATCTGATATAATTTCTCTCTTCTGGTTTAACGTGGCTCTAAAGGAACGTTCAGAACGCGTTACATATATAACGCAAAGTTTTATCCAATAAAAAATACATGAGAATATACTCCACTCCCTGAGATCAAGTCTGACATTTATGGAATTGCATTCCGACACTAAAAAGAAGAGTAAGAAGGAACGACTGGAAATGTCGATACTACTCGATATAGTTATACAGAAGTAGGGTATCTCATACACGCTAAATCACGCTCTCCAAATAAGTTGAATTGCTCTGCATAAAATATTGGCAAGGATACTTGTTTCTTTTCTTTCGCCATGTACAGGTAACCGATTGCCTTCGAAATGTTGAGTATTCCCATCGGGATATGTGATGCGTGCCTCTCAGAAAGGGAAATAATGGTAGTTTCTCATTAATTAATTGCGATCGAATGTCGAGAGAAAATTTTATAGGTGAAAATATCGTATAACATTTTTAATGCAATTACATTGTACACAAATACTTGTTTAATCAGGCAAAGAAAGAATGTCTAATTAATTGAATATGTATATATAAACAACTCATTTTATGTTGGACGTCGTTAACATGTGTGCTGCATTGTCGATTTGACTTTTAATTACTTTTCCCACTATGCGTCGCGTGCGTGAATCAAACATACATTATAATTAAGTTCTATCAAACAAATTACCTTATCCAACTTATCATAAAATCTCGCGTTATTTAAAAATGTTTGTTTTTCATTTTAATAACACATAATATGTAATATTAAAATTAATGTGATATCTCAAATGATATCTTTCAAACGCTATGTGGTGAATAAGTTAATCATCGTAATCTGAATACTTAATGAGCCTCGTTAAAAAAAAGTAGCGTCTATAATGTGGTTACAAGTGGTCGCGTGACAAAACTGCCTATAGACTCGCAATTACATAAATCCGGGATATAGTTTTTGCTACAGATTGCAGTGAGATTTCCATTTCTATATCCATCTCGCGCGCGGTAATGGCGCGCTGCAAATATTAACTTTGAAAGTAACGAGACAATTAAAATTACGACACAAGCGCGCGCAGAGACCTTTACATTCATTATAAAAGGATTGATGCCCTTTTGTGTCATATTTAAATCTCTATACGCGCCATGCCTTTGTCATGCACCAGCTTTGTTCGAACGAATATAAAAGCAGATAACAAGAATTTTCTGCGAAGAAAAAACACTTTTCTTTCTCTTTATTAATATTAAACAAATATATATGGTCGTTATAATGTACATAGGAGTAGGTGAAATTTTGTTTAATCAAATATACGCATATTTCTATTTGTTTAGGATTGAGATGAATTCGCCGCGCTCGATCAAGCGAAAATTCATGTCTCGATCAAAAATCTAGGTAAAAGCAATAGCCGTTGGCCTAACGCGGCAGCACCTCGCGGCACGCACCGCGGTAAGCGCCGCGGAAGCAAAATTTCGGCCAATTAGCGCGTTCCGCGTGTGTCTGTCAGGAGCACGCGGTCGATAGCGTGATCGAAGAGGTACGCATTCCGTCGGAGACAGTCATCGTGGAGAGAGAGTCGATCAGGTGGTCGCAAGTCAGACTAAATATTCGTATAACGAAGTACGAAATAATTCGCGTTACGGTGTAATAAGTGTGTGAATTTACGACCGCGACGGATACGAGAAGCATCGCGCGGTATTCTGTGACATATCGAGTGTTAAAAATTAGCGGTTCATCGGATCTCGTTCGCGACGCAACATTCACGTTCTCGCGACAAATTCGGCGCTATATTGTGCACGCCACGTGCACGTGATTGAACATTACGATTATTCGAATCCTGCTGGAGGATTCATTGCGATATTTGCTTGCAGATGAATGCATGTCGTGCATTCTCTCTCTCTCTCTCCCGCTCTCCCTCTTTCCCTTTCTCCCTCCCTCATAATTGCCATCACACTGTGCTTCCGATTTCCTTCAAAATATTGCACGCGGTGGCACGTGCAAGCAGCTAGCGACTCAACGATTCGGTCAGGATTGCTTGCATCATTCTCGCCGAGTGATTGCAATTCTGCGTTAATTATGTTAATTAGTTGTCGTTGTGAAAAGTGATTGTGAACACGATAACTCAAGATAATTATCGAATTGCGTTAAATCATACGTGCGCGTTTTCGATAAATTATAACGGTCGTCCACAAGAGGACAAATTTGTTGTTGTACGCTTCGCGGTCGTGACTTTCAAATAAGAAATTGTTTTTGCGACCAAGGACATTGGTGCCGATATCGAACAAACATTTTTTTTTGTGATTGCGAGCTTCGAAGCGAGTAATTGTTTTTGTACGACGCTTGGTGGACAATCAGGCGTTCGATAAGTGATCAATTGTTAAATATAGATTTAGCTGCGTGTACAGCAAACGCTTTTGATTATCATATCGAGTTTTTTTTTGTTTGTGTCAAGTCCAGGTGACTATCAGATGTGTGACAAACAATAAAGTGATCTGTTATTGTTAATCAAGTTCAAGATTCCTTTTCAATTCGGCTTAAATCACCAGTCTCAGCGTACACATGGGTGCGCGACCACCCTATTAAGATACAGTCCACTCAATAATTATATCCTATTGTCCATCCATCACATCTCTCATGAGATTCCTATGATTTCTTTCCAATAAATTTTTGAGAGGCGCGGCGCGTGAGACGCGGCCCTAAAAAGGTCAAGCACGCTCATTCGTCGCAGCTTCGCGTCGGACCACGGTTCATGCCGCGCGTTCGCAACATTATTTTTAATATAAATATATACAATTCATTAAAGCACTCTTTTTGTTGCTGTTTTTTTATATACAAAATGCTTTTCAAAGCATACTCGTTCCTCACGCGAGCTGAGAAACAAATGTAGACGTTAAACCTACCTTTTTATTCTAAATTCTAATAAATGGTAATATTTTAGACGTCATCGCTGCCCGCACAACTTGCCTCAAAAACAGTTCAAGTTTTATTACAAAGAGCCGGTGCATACTGTAACTTCCTATCGCCAGAATTATGATGAAAAACATGTGGAGAAACAAACAAAATTTTATCATAAGGATCATCTGCATACAGAGGGCAAATTTATTGGACAAAGGCGAACCGATTATGTTGCTACTAAAGGCGAGAGACGCAAGACCATCTTAAACCTGAAGGTGAATTCGTCAAAAGACCGAAAGAGGAAGCACCTACGAGAGGTAAGAGGGCACCTGTAAGAAAGCCAGAGGCTAGCTTGAAACTCGAAGGAGATTTTGACAGTAAGTTTTCACATTTGCTTGATTTTCCATTCAACTGCTGTCTGTCATTTTTATATTATAAATGTCATTTAAAGACACACACAATCCATCCAGCAATTTTTAAATGTAGCAAATTAAATATTTTTTTTTGTAAAATTATATTTATTGTAAGATAAACATTTTTTTCCAGCTACAACAACAACGGAGCTAGTCTTCACTGGTACTCCCGGTGAACGACCTATCCCGATACGTTGCAATACTCATACAAAGATAGAGGGTGATTTCATTGATGAAACGACGACACGGTCTCAATATATCGATCATCGCAGTATTCAACGTGCTGAGATAATCAAACGAACGGATAATCTTACTGTAGAAAAGGGTGAATTTACGGTAAGTAATAAATAATATTGAATTTTGTTTTCAAAATGTTTATAACATTATTTTAGTTATTTATAATATTTTTGAATTTATCTTACACTTAATTTATCTATGTATAATTAAATTGATTAAAAAATATATATATTTTAGGGTACTTCTCATATAAAGGAGGATTTCCAGACTCATATTATCGAGCGTGAACCTCAGTTACGACCAAAATACCCTGAAGACATCGATCGATTTTACAGCAAGACCGATATCACAGACAGCATTACGACCACCCAAAAACAATATTGGACTTTCGATCAGGTCGATTACAAAAGCACTACTGTTAGAAAAGCTGATAATCTGAGACCTGAAGGACCCTTCGAAGCATTGCCTCATACGAAAGATGATTACATTGCACCGATATTGCCACGCAGGCCGGAATTACAAAAACCTAAAGATAATTTAAGATCCGAAGGACCATTTAAAGGACGTCCTAAGGATGATTTTACACCAACCAGAAGAGAACGCGCGGATGTTAAACGCCCGGAGGATAATTTACGGCCAGAAAGACCATTCGAAGGACGACCTAAAGATGATTATTCACCTAAACGCGGAGAACGCTTTGAAGTAAAACGACCAGAGGATAACTTACGTCCCGAAGGACCATTTGAAGGTCGACCTAAGGACGATTATCGATCAACTAAAGGCGAACGAGCTGATGTTAAACGTCCTCAAGATAATTTAAAACCAGAAGGACCATTCGTAGGACGTCCTAAGGATGATTATACGCCAACTAGAGGAGAACGCACGGATGTTAAACGCCTAGAGGATAATTTACTGCCGGAAGGTCCTTTTGTGAAGGTCGACCTAAAGATGATTACAAACCTACTAGAGGCGAACGCGCTGATGTTAAACAACCTGAAGATAACTTGAGGCCAGAAGGACCATTCAAAGGACGACCTAAAGATGATTATTCACCTAAACGCGGAGAACGTCCTGAAGTAAAACGACCAGAAGATAACTTACGTCTCAAAGGACCATTTGAAGGTCGACCTAAGGATGATTATCGGCTAACTAAAGGCGAACGAGCTGACGTAAAGCGACCAAAGGATAATTTACGGCCTGAGGATGATTTTATAGATCATCCCAAGGAGCAATATACACCTGGTGAGAAACGTACGCCTATTAAACATGCGGATAATTTGTATCCCGAAGGCGACTTTGAAAGACCTGAACCCATACCTTATGGTCCTGGTGACAGAGCGTTTGTCGTGCGTCATCCAGATAATCTGTTTCCAATAGGATAATTTTTAGACCGAAAAGTCGAGCCGTTTAAACCAGCTGAACGTAAAACTCCTATTAAATACAACGATAATCTTCGTCCAGAGGGTGATTTCACTGGAAGACCTAAGGATGATTATAGGCCAACCAGAGGAGAACGTGTGGACGTCAAGAAACTGGAAGAACCATTTGAAGGCCGACCAAAGAACGATTATAGTCCCAAGATAGCCAAGCGCCCAGAAGTCAAAAAACTAAAAGATAATTTAAAACCAAAAGGATCTTTCAAAGCTCTACGACCTAAAAATGACTACAAGCCAACTAGAGGTGAACGTGCTGATGTTAAACGTCCCGAAGACAATCTGAAACCAGAAGGACATTTCGAAGGACGACCAAAAGATGATTTCAGACCGACGAAAAGAGAGCGTGCAGATGTTCGGCGTCCGAAATAACTTACGACCTGAAAGACCGTTCGAGGGTCGTCCAAAAGATGATTATTCGCCCAAACGTGCTGAACGTCCCGAGGTAAAACATTCAGAAGACAATCTACATCCTGAAGGCGACTTTGAAAGACCAGATAAAACATCTATCGGTCCAGCAGCAAGGCGCACTCCCATCAAACATTCGGATAATCTAAAACCCGAAAACAAATTTGAACGACCTCGTCCGTATGGTTATCGTCCGGCAGAGAGGTCAGAAGTTAAGAAGCCAATAAATAATTTGAAGTCTGAAGGTAAGTTTGAAAGACCTCGTCCTGAAAAATATGCTCCAGCTGAAAAACAAACGCCAGTGAAACATCCGGATAATCTTAAACCGGAAGGTAAATTTGTTGGTAGACCAAAAGAAGATTTCACGCCCACGAAAGGCGATCGCGCAGATGTTAAAAGACCAGAAGATAATTTGCGACCGGAAGGACCTTTCGAAGGACGGCCGAAAGATGATTACCGACCGGTGCGAGGAGAACGCATGGATATTGTTAAACGTACCGATAATTTGCGCATGGAAGGAGATATAAAAACCTATAGATTGAGAGATGAATATACTGATTTCTTGATTCGCGAAAAAACCGAGATTACTAAATATTAAGATAACTTACGTATGGAGAATAGGCGACTCAAAATCACCCTCAGACTTCAAATTATCTTTGGGCTTCTTAACGATCGCTCGGTCACCTCTAATAGGCGCGTGTTCTTTGGCTGCTGCACAAAATCACCTTCTGGTTTCAAATTATCAGGATGTTTGATGGGAGATCTTTTCTCGGCTGGACCTATCGGTATCTTTTCCGGACGTTCACGCACAAAATCACCCTCGGGACGAAGATTATCTTCATGTCTGATAATTTCGCTGCGTTTACCACGCGTAACTCGATAATCATCTCGTCGTTGAATATCGACAAATTTGCCTTCAATCTTCAAATTATTCTCGCAATGAACAACCTCTACGCGCTCACGTTTAGACGTGGTGACGTAATCGTAAAGGAGAATTCATCGATATGAGAACGCGAGACGATTTCAAAGTCGTTAAAGGCGAACGCGTAGACGTTGTAAAGCACCGTAATAATTTAAAATCAGAAGGTCCGTTTGAAGGCCGTCCGAAGGACGACTTCTCGCCCAAAAAGCAGAAAGACCTGAAATTAAAAACCAAAAGATAATTTAAAACCAGAAGACGATTTTGTACGCCGACTCAAGGAAGAAGCACCGAAAAAAGGTGAGAGCTGATGACAAAAAACCGAAAAACCGAAGGAGACTTTGAAAGACCCGAGAAAGTTTCTATCGACCCAGCAGAAAGGTGTTCTCCGATTAAACATGCTGATAATTTGAAACCGGAAGGTGAATTCGAGAGACTTAAACCTGAAGAATTTAAACCCGCGGAGAAACCAATTGTAAAGAAACCGTGTGATAGCTTGAAACCGGAAGGCGAATTTATCTCTAGACCGAAAGAAGAAGCGCCGAAAAAAAGTGATAGAGCTGATGTTAAGAAACCGAAAGATAATCTTATGCCCGAGGGTAATTTTGAAAGACCGGAGAAAAAACCAATTGGTCTCGCTGAGAGACGTTCTCCGATTAAACATCCGGATAATTTGAAACAGAAAGGAAAGTTTGAACGGCCGAAACACGAAGGATATCATCCAGCAGAAAGACCTCAAGTAAAGAAACCATCAGACAATTTATATCCGGAAGGTGATTTCAAAAGGCCGGAGAAAAAGCCGCTTGGTCCAGTGGAAAGGAGAACTCCGATCAAGCATGCGGACAACTTTAAGCCAGAAGGTGAATTTGTAGGCAAGCCTAAGAAAGAAGCTCCAAAGAGAGGAGATAGAGCAGATGTTAAAAAACCTGAAGACAATCTTAAGCCTGAAGAAGACTTTGAGAGACCCGAAAAATCTCCAATTAAACCGGCTGAGCGACGAACGCCTATTAAACATCCTGATAATTTGCGGCCTGAGGGTGAGTTTGAAAAACGTCCAAAGGAAAAGACGCCCCTCAAAGGCGAAAGAGCAGATATTACTAAACCAAAGGACAATTTGCAATCGGAGGGTAAATTTGAAAGGCCTCAGAAATCACCAATCGGACCAGCAGAACGGCGGACGCCAATTCGATACGGCGACAATCTCTATCCGGAGGGTGAATTTGTTGGACGACCAAAGGATGATTTTACTCCCAAACGGGCTGATCGACCGATACAGAAGAAGCCCAAGGACAACTTGAAGCCTGAAGAAGAATTCGTAGGTAAACTGAAAGACGATTATAAGCCGACTAAGAGAGAGAGAACCGAGATCGTGATACATCGAGACAACTTGAAGATGAAAGGCGACATAGATGTTTACCGATCACGAGACGATTACGTCACCACATCTAAACGTGAGCGCGTAGACGTTGTTCATCGCGAGAATAATTTGAAGATTGAAGGCGAATTTGTCGATATTCAACGACGAGATGATTATCGAGTTACGCGTGATAAACGCAGCAAAATTATCAGACATGAAGATAATCTTCGTCCCGAGGGTGATTTTGTGCGTGAACGTCCGGAAAAGGTACCGATAGGTCTAGCCGAGAAAAGATCTCCCATCAAACATCCTGATAATTTGAAACCAGAAGGTGATTTTGTGCAACGGCCAAAAAAACACGCGGCTACTAGAGGTGACCGAGCGATCGTTAAGAAGCCCAAGGATAATTTGAAGTCCGAGGGTAATTTTGAGAGGCCAACGAAGTCGCCTATTGGTCCCGCTGAACGGCGATCACCCATCAAGCATTCCAATAACCTTTATCCGGAAGGCGAATTTGCCGGTCGTCCAAAGAAAGACACGCCATTGAAGGGTGACCGAGCGGATGTGCAGAAGCCAAAGGATAATCTTCATCTTAAAGGAGAATTTGCGAAATGTGCACCGAAGGTAGAGCCAGCCAAACGAAAAACGCCGATCAAACACGAGGACAATCTATATCCCAAGGGAGACTTTTATATGGTGCCTAAGGACGATTTTACTCTGAAGAGAAGTGATCGTTCACCGGTCAAGAAACCCCAAGACAATCTTTGTCCCGAAGGTGAGATGAAGGTGTCCCCGAAGGACGATTACAAGTACGTAAATGGAGAACGCGTGGAAGTGCGTCGACATGAAGATCACTTACGTATGGAGGGACAGATGGATATTCATCGTTCGAGAGATGATTATAAGAAAATTACAAAAATTAAAAAATGAATGTTAAAAGACACGAGGATAATCTCAAAATGAAAGGCGAATTTATCGATGTGCGTCGCAAAGACGATTATGTACACGTGATTGGTGAACGCGTGCCAATTAAAAAACATTCGGACAATCTTCATCCGGAAGGAGATTTCGACAGACCCCAGAAAACCGTGGTCGGTCCCGAAGAAAGAAGATTGCCTATCAAACATCCGGATAATCTAAATCCGGAAGGTGATTTCGAACGTAGAATCACAGATAAAATTGGTCCCGGTGAACGACAATCGCCGATTCGTCACGCTGACAATTTGAAGCCCGAAAGAGACTTTATCGGACGCCCGCGCGATGAATTCACCCCCAAAAGAGCAGAAAGGATTGAAATTGTCAAGAAAAAAGATAATTTAAAAATAACGGGCAATTTCGAAGATACAACAGGTTTGTTCGCGTCGCATGCCCTAACATGCTCCTTCTTACTCCAATGTGCTCCAATACGTTTGTGTCACCGGAAACAAGATGGCGACTAAATGTTCGCGTCACGTTAGAGCATACTTTAAGGAGCAATTAGGAGCACGCTCTATTTGCCTCACCTTCGAAGGTGGTGCATTTGGGGCTATTTTATCGCGCATGTGTGTGAAGCGTGTACTGTAAACAGTATTCACTGCTCAAGATAGTCGGGTAATCCATTAACCTCGCTTTTATTATTCGGCTACGCCGTCACTGTCTTTATTGATATTTCACAATGGAGACTTCTTATAAGTATTCACGTAAGAATTTTATACAGGGTGTTAAAAAAGTGTCACATACGCTCAGTACCATTCGATAGAGAATGAAAATCTAAGAATAAATGTCTAATACTATTTTTCGATCTGATGAATAATTTCACCGCAATTAATTATTGTAATCAGTCAATCAGCGCTGAGTTACAAGAGTAAGTCAGGGGTGGGCGCGCGAAATTAGCTGCGGCGCGGCGGCAACCGCGCTCACGTATGGTACGCAGTTTTACTTTTTTATAGCATAAACAATATTCCATTTAATATAAAAAAATTAAATAATTAATTGTCTTATAAAATATAAATAAAATAAATTTATGTTAATACATAAAAATAATTCGGTGAATTAAAATTATGTCGAGACAAAATAAAAATTCGAAATTATTATTATGTGGCAATATAATTTCAACTTATCGAATTTTTATTATGTGGCGACATAATAATAATTCGATAAATTAAAGTTATATCGCGACATAAAGATATTTCGATAAAATAAAATTACATCTAAGCATAATAAAAGTTCGATAAACTAAAATTATGTTTGGGTATAAAAGTAACTCTCTATTCTTATTATGTATCAACATAATTTTAATTCATCAAAATTTTATTATGTGGCGACACAATAAAAATTCGATGAATTAAAATAATATCACAACATAAAAATAATTCGGTGAATGAAAATTATGTCGAGGCATAATAAGAATTCGGAATTATTATTATGTCGCGATATAATTTTTACTTATCGAAATTTTATTTTGTTGCATGTCGCCACAATTAGATTAATTATAATTATATCGCGATATACAAATATTTCGGTGAATTAAAATTATGCTGCAATTATTTTTCTTATTTAATAAAAGGTAGTATGCGATGTAATGAAGGTTTGACAAAGTAAAAGGAATAAATATATTTATTCAATGGAGAATTTTTTTACATTAAATGTTGGTATTGGCCACCATTCGCTTCCAAACATTTGATTGCCCTGTACGCAACGCTTTCTGTGGCATTCTTTATATGCCGCCGCTGTACGGTAGCAAACGCTCTTTGTATTCGTTCTTCTAATTCGTCCTGCGTTTCTATGCGGTTAAAATAAATTTTCTCTTTCTGCGCACCCCACAAGAAAAAATCACAAGAATTCAAATCTGGTGATCTTGGTGGCCATTGCCAGAAAGGTGCTCCACGACCCATCTAATTATTTCCATACGTATTATTTAAGTATTCTCGGACAGGTGTTGTTATAGTTAAAACAATAAAATTAATAATTAATTAAAATTAAATAATTAATTAAAACAATTTTAGAACCAGTAATTAATGATATTTATAAAAAGTTTCAATTAGAAAATTGAATTAATACAAAAATCATTTATGCGAAATAAAAATCGATTGAAAAGTATATTTGAATAAATAAAAAATTGTTGTTATTGCATTGATGTACGATATTTTATGCACTTTTTGCATGCAATTTTTATTCAAACATAATTTTAATCTACGAAAAACAATATTTATCCGTATAAAATAAAACTTCTTTAAAACTAAAAACTGCGAAAATACAAACATTGAAATAATAGCAAAGCGTCATGTGTTTATTAGAAATCAGAAGTTTAGAAACTCTTACAAGGGACCGTTACAAACTGAACAATAGCTACAGCGACAAATACAAGCTACATAGACAAAATTATCCAAGCATCTTGACTCTCTTTGGATCACTTTCCACCCAAAAACTAGACCGGAAATAAAATAAATATAAATAATAAGAAAATAAAATAATTTTTTTAATTTTTTGATACCTATCGTGTTTCCTCATTTTTATTTTATTTTTTTACCTGTTATCTATCCGATTCGACTCCAATCTGATTAACCCAAACCAAAATCCGCTTGATACTAATGAGCCATAACACACTAATGATTAGGTCGAGTCGGACATAAATGGATTGATTCACTGAAAGTTTATGTGCAACTCATTGATTATACAATGGTAGAAACAGAAGAATTGCTCACAATGAGCGCATTTAAAATCTGACATGTTGAAACATCTTTCAAAAGAACAGCAATCCAGTTCGGAGAAGCGAAAACAATAGTCACACGGAGTAACAATAATCTATACCGAATCTAATAAATCCTTGATCCAAGAACTACAATCGAACAATAACCGAATCGACCGAACCGGCCAGAATCGACAAGAATTCGCCAAGAACCAAACTATAGAAGCCAAATGAAAATCAAAGGAAAAGATAACAATCCAACAACAAACCCAATGATGCCAAATGTAATGATTAGAGACTTGACCAAAACCAAGATAACGGAACTTTCGAACGATTCCACAGAATGATAGAATTTCGGTAATTAGGTAATCAACTGTAGTGAGACACTGCTGCTCTTTTCGATTATATGAGTTTGTGCTTTTCTATGTGTAACGTCGTTTACGCATTATACTTGCATTGTAATAGGTTTGGGCAATGACAGCCTTATCACATAATTGATCCAAACAATAAACAACAACAAATAATTGTCATTGTCTTGAAGTCCTTTGTGATTTTTTTGGTGTGGTGTGATCCGCAATATTGCACACTGGTCAGCATCCTACAGTTGATTACCTAATCACCGAAATTTTATCATTCTGTGGAACCGCTCGAAAGTTCCGTTATCTTGGTTTTGGTCAAGTTCTAATCATTACATTTGGCATCATTGGGTTTGTTGTTGGATCTTTTCCTTTGATTTTCATTTGGCTTCTGTAGTTTGAAGATAGTTTGGTTCTTGGCGAATTCTTGTCGATTCTGGCAGGTTCGGTCGATTCGGTTATTGTTCGATTGTAGTTCTTGGTTCAAGGATTCATTAGATTCGATATAGATTATTGAAATGGATTCCGAACAGAATATTTTATCCAGACAATCCGTGATCGAGATCACGAATGTCATTGCCATGTTATGCAAGATTCACACTATTGACATGAACGAGTTGTCTTTTGTGGTTCAGAACCAGAACCAGAACTTCGATGAGTATGTGGTCTCGATGGCGGAACAACTGTCGAAGCAATTGGTTTCTGGTGAGATCATTATCGACAGTGAGGATTGTTTGGTTCCGGACCCTGATTTTGATGTATCCGAAGAGGAATTTGATCCGAAAAGAAAGGATGAAGTAAAGGATGATCTCGAGGAGGATCCGGACTTTGATCCAACACTATCTGAACGAGTCCTGATCAAGCCTGAGGATATGAACGAGGAGAAATTCGAGAAGGCTTGGGCGTATTGGACCAAGCAGGAAGGAAAATATTGTGATCAGATTGATTACAATTGGAACAACTTTCTTCACCGTGGCAAAAAGCGCAAGATGGGATCTGTGGCGAGTTATTACTATCTCGATGAGCAACTACAAAGCCTGAAAAAATAGGCACAGCGGAAGCATCTCGGACAGATCGCTATGCGGCAGCTCAACATCAAGGTGTATGAACAGTTCCTGGACCATTGAGCCCGAAATAAGATCGTGACCGATAGGCTGATCCGCCTTTGGGCTATAAAGTTAAAGTCTCAATTGGTGGACACACGAACCCAATATCGCGCCACACCTTCCTGGTTGCTGAAATTCAAGCAACGATTCAACATTGTTTCTAGAAGTATAACCCACAAGGTTGGAAGGAACTTCTTCCGTGACGAAGAAATGAAAGCACGTATGCGAGAGAAGTTTCTTCAGGATGTTCAGAAGACCATGGTTGAAAATGGATTCGCTCCTTTTCAAGTTGTAAACATCGATCAATCGGGTTTCAACAAGGAGATGCATGGGTACCGAACCATGAACATTCGAGGCGCAAAGCAGGTCTATGTGGAGGTGGGGTCCAAGAATGCGACCACCCATTCCTATACGATTATGCCCATGATCAGTATAGACGGGACGTTAATGTCCACCTTGTATTTAAAAAGTTCCGAATCAAGCTCATTAGGCAAAGGCAACGATCCCCAGTTCCCAAGCACCATCGTCATTCCACTCGACATCAACGCTTATCCTGGAACGAGCGCAATGATGAATAAGTCAGATTTGCAAACGTACCTTTGGGAAGTTTTCTTTGCCCAACTGCGGCAATCAAATATCGACAAGTGTCTTCTCTTGTGCGACTCGTGGAGTAGCAACAAGGATGATGCCAGTTTCAACCAAATCGCAGCCGATTTTCCCGACATCGTTGTAAAGCGCATGTTAATTCCTCCTGGAACAACTGGAACCACGCAGCCACTCGATGTGTACTACTTTCGACTGTTGAAGGTCTTCATTCGCTTTATATGTGACACTCTCGAGATCGATGACTTCAAAATATGGCAACGAAACAACTACTTTAAGTTGCAAGCGTTCGCTCATTTCCAGTTCCGTGCCGATCGATTTCGGGATATGATTTGCTATGCCTTTTACAAGGCAGGGTACTTGCCCGAACGACCACCCAAGTTTATTACCCTGTGTGACTATTGTTTTTGCTTCTCCGAAATGGATTGCTGCTCTTTTGAAAGATGTTTCAACATGTCAGATTTTAAATGCGCTCATTGTAAGCAATTCTTCTGTTTCTACCATTGTATAATCAATGAGTTGCACATAAACTTCCAGTGAATCAATCCATTTATGTCCGACTCGACCTAATCATTAGTATGTTATGGCTCATTAGTATCAAGCGGATTTTGGTTTGGGTTAATCAGATTGGAGTCGAATCGGATAGATAACAGGTAAAAAAATAAAATAAAAAACGAGGAAGCACGATAGGTATCGAAAAATTAAAAAAAATTATTTTATTTTCTTATTATTTATATTTATTTTATTTCCGGTCTAGTTTTGGGGAGGAAAGTGATCCAAACAGAGTTAAGATGCTTGGATAAATTTAAAAACATTAAAAAAAAAATTTTTAGAAAAATTATTTTATTATTTTATTATTTGTATTTCTTTCATTTCCGGTCTAGTTTTTGGGTGGAAAGTGATCCAAAGAGAGTCAAGATGCTTGGATAATTTTGTCTACGCTGTAGCTATTGTTCAGTTTGTAACGGTCCCTTGTCAGAAGCTAGTATTTTATGATATAAAAAACATATTTCAAACTAATACTAATAGCTGTAAATTCTTTATAAGTTGTACTAAAAAAATTTAAACTTTGCATTAATTTGTTATTTAATTGAGACGTGAAAATTTTTATTAAAACAAATTATGTTTTCAAATATGTTTAATAATTTATAATAATTGTAACCTGCATTGTGCGCTGGACATCCATCATGCATAAAATTGATGTTACGTCGAAATAGCGGCATATCGTCGATAGCAGCGGGAGGAAAAAGTAAATTTGGCAACTTATCACGCAAAAAGTCGAGATAATTTAAACCATTTAATCTTTCCGGCAAGAATACTGGTCCAATCTAAGGATAATTATTTGAAATTCATCATAAATAAATACACATTATGGCTTTATAGAAATTTTTTATATTGACAAAAGCAGAAGTAAAAAAAACGAAATGTTTACAAATGCTAAAATAGTTATCTAAATGAAAAGCTAAAATTTAAACCAAAAATAAATACCTAAATCTCCAGTCACAAGAGAAAGACTACAAAATGGCAAAATGTTAAAATATGTATTATTATAAACAAGAAGGCCTAAATTTCAAAACTAAATCATGAATAAGTTTTCTACAATTTTTTTCGCAAATCTGACAGTTTATTGTAATTAAATAACTTACTAATTGTAAACAAAGAAGGGCTATAAAAGCTATTAAACATAACAAAGTTGTCAGTTGATATTAAAAAACTTCATTTAAACTGAACGAGAAATAAATAAGAAGTGATCATTTATTCGCATTTAAACGAAATAATAAATACATAAGAAATACACATTAAAGCAAACGTTTCGGCTGACATTTCGAGCCTTCCTCAGCGCAATACAAATATTATATAAATTGAAATGTAATATTGAACATTAAGGGGTTATAACACCTTTGAGGGTCAAAAAAATTCAAAATTTTTTTTTTTTGCTTAAATGATACTTTGAAATGTATAGAATATAATTTTATTCATCTAGAGTCGGTCTGGAACTTTTTCATGTACGAAATAGCCATGTTTGTACGCGGCGCCATAGCGCGCGGAGAGAACCTGGGAGCGCTCTCTGAGTTCTGCCTTTCTACTTCAACTATCGAGTAGTTGAGAATTTAGTATAATATTGTAGATGTCTCTTGTGACCATTTCAACAGAAAACAGTATATTCCTATCATATAATACTTTATTTTATGCCAGAATCGTGTGTTTACTGCGAACAGTTTCCGTTACACCACCGACTTCGGCTTTTCAAATTGTTGTAATAATGGAGAAACAAAGACTACATATAGATCAGAAAGGGAGTAGAGCAAGTACTTCACGTGCACGTAAAAGTTCAATAAGTAGAAGGAAGCCTTTAAATAGGTATTCTTTAGAAGGCGAAAGTGAAAGTGTGAGCACGTCGGCGAAAAAACTTAAAACGAGTGCGGACGATTACGAGATACACGTGGACAATACTTTTGGGTATCGTTTCATTAATTTTGTTTCCGTTTTTACAACCATTTCGCAATTAATTGTTTGCAAAACGTGTGGCTCGAACATCAAATTTGAAGAATCCAGACGTCGCGGTCTTGGTTTCAAAATCGGTATTATTTGTGAAAAATGCGTGCCAAAATATATTGACTCCAGCCCTCTTATAAACAATCACGCTTACGAAATAAATCGCCGAATGGTATTTACAATGAGATTACTT